GCTTTTTTAATCTGCATATTCTGATCTAGTTTTAATCATCCGATTAATTAGTCCAAAAAACTCAAAACCCAAAATTATATCCTAGCTAAGGAATTTTAATACTCATACCTTTTAGATATATATAAAGACAACTAATTCTAAAACTGTTCTGTACAAACCAGATACAATTGCTTAAGATCTTAGTTGACACATCTACTTTTACTTTGTATATAGAAGGCAGAGGTATATAAATGTCAAAATAAGTTTAGTTTTGCTTTGAAGATAGATAAATTTTAAGAAATGCCACTTTTCAAAATACCACTTTTTCAATATTTTTGTAAAAATACCATCTTTTGTTAATTATGTTGTATTAAAATTTAGTTTTTTAGGGTTTAAGGGCTTTTAGGGGTCAAAACATTTTTTAGGGTTTATAATTTTAAGATTTAGGCTTTAAAAATTCATAATTAGTGGCATTTTTGCAAATGAACACTCCTAAATGGCATTCTTACAAATGTACATACCAAAAATGACATTTTTGCAATTGCTCCTTGAGGATATGAGTGACAGTTTTTCTATAAAAAAAGGATATCAGTGACAAAGAGTAAAACACATGGGGATGGTCACAAATTCTCCAATGGCGAAATCATGTTCAAGGGCCCATATTGTCCATTACACATTACCAAAGTCTGCAAAAACTAGGGTTTGTTCCTTTCACATGCCTATGTTTGTTAGATGAACTACCTCTTGCGGGAAAAAAGAAATGCTATACACTAAACACAAGAAAGAAGAAACCAGGAAACACTTCATATTTACCACACACAATATTCGAAAATTTACGTTAAGTTACTCATTTCTACAAGTTCAATGTAGGATCATATACGGAAACAAATAGACAATGTCCATAGACTAGGAACTACTTCTCCAACAAGTAAACTATATAACGTTAAAAAAAAAAGTAAACTATATACAAGCTCATCAAGAGGTCATTCTTATCATTTGTTTGAGTCTATAATAGTTTCTCAAAATTTAGTTCTTTACTCGAAACAGGTACGTAAAGGGTAATAATTCAAATGTAGTGGATTTAATCATTTGGGATGGGTAAATTTTTTTAAAGGAACATTATTGTACCCATGTCTCTATATACTTTTTATGTATCTGCAACCCCACACACACACACACAGAGATCTAAATACCTAAATACTTGAATTGGATACGAATATCTATGTATTCATTTGTTCAAATACAGATTAGATACATATATATATATCTAAAATTTCTGAAGTATTTGATTTGTGCCAATCATTAATATATATTATATACATATATACACATGGATGGACACAGACAACTCAAGGAACTTGAACAAGTACGGGTACTTTGGCAATTCTTTGTCAGTTTTATAACACAATTGTTTATAATTAAAGTGGGTTATTTTTTGCGTGTGC